GGACTTCCAATTCTGAGTTGTCCTATCGGATTTCACTATTCCAATAGGGCTAGAAATAGTGGGTCTCTTACCCTTCCGAACCGGAATCTGTTGCTATTCTTCAGCAACCTTCAACCCATCCTGAGAATCAATCAGTTTAACTTTATTCACCAAGTTGTAAGAGTTATCTTCTATCGAGACAGAAATCTCAAAAGAAATGTGCTCAATCTTCACACGAATTTTCTTCGGAATGATAATACCTTAAAGCCTCCAAATTTTAACTCTAGCAAAACGAAAATCCTTTTCAATGATAGAATTCCAATCAACATCACAGTAATCTCCACAAAGACTAGCAACTTTTTGGATAATAGACAAGTTCCAAGCATGAAGAGGGATACCCCAAAGTCGATCCAAACTTCTCTTAACATATGAGATTCATGAACTGAGGGTTTCCATAAGTCTAGAGATAAAAGTTTACCTCTTACTCTAACAAACCTTCTCACTAAAGACTTAGCAACATCCTCCTCCAATTGTAACATAAAAACCACCTTGTTTACTCCTAAAATTTTCACCTCCGGGGCATAAGCAAGACCCCAGCCCCTCCTAGCCCAATCATCAAGCCCAAATATATCACATGAAGGAGGAGAGAAAGAACCTACCACACTAAGCTTATACTTGGACAAGGATCCAAGCACTACAAACCGATCTATAGAAATCCTTGGGATGGAAGCCAAATCCCCATGCTCTTCCTGCACCTCACCTCCACCTCCACCTTCATATTTCTTATCACTCAGAAATTAGTGTTCCTTTTAGCTGTGACACAAAACATGAAGGTTGGTTCCCCTAATATCCATGACTAAGGAAGGTGCAGCATTAAACTAGGCAACTCTTTAAGGGTTATTTGATGGAAAAGGCTACAATTCTTACTTAATACTCTGACTAAAATATGGCATGATGGAAAGCCCTATTAATTCTTACTTAATACTCTGAATAAAATATGGCATGTTAAACTAGGCATGTGCTAGAACATTACAAAAATAAAAACGAAACGAATACTCACTGAAACAAAATATGTGTTATCAACAAAAAAAGGTTAGCATTCCTAAATGGATGGGGTTGTGTACAACCACAATTATGTGTACCACCACAATTATGTGCACCTCAAAAATGTGTATCTTTGAGGGATGGAGGACACAATAACTATTCAAACATTTTCAAAGCAATTTCATCACCAAAAAATAAATTTGGGGCCCCTAAACATGGTCCAAATGTGATCGAATCTGCATTCATAGATTGAAAGGGCACATCGGATGTCAGCATAACAATCGAGATATTTTTAGGGCCTCCAAAATTTTCAAAAACAACTTCTAGAGGATAAACGAATGGACCTGCATAATCCAGAGCCACGATTCCTCGTTTGTCAAAATTCATGGAAGAAAGGAGGTGCGGATTGTTACAATCGTTTGTTGTACGGAAACATTTTCCGTCCATGAAACATCACGAACAAATTTATCATCTTTCGCCAGCCCTTGGGCGTGGTCCAGTGTTTGAAAAATTGATTGGCCAGTACTAAGTAATTGGTAAACCGGTCGGTTAAACCGGCGCAACCAAGCAAGTTTGAATAGTCAAAAAAGTGTAGAAAAAAATAAAAAAGATACAAAAAAAAAATCTAAAAAATATGAAAAGTATATTTAAATCATAGATAAACAAAGCGCATCCAAACGAATTGTAAAATTAGTGAAAAAAGTAAATTTAAAAAAATCCATTTGTGCCCGAGGGTATTTTTGAAATATTCTTAAAAAGACTGGAAAATGTAAAAGTAAATGTTCATGGAGAAATCACTTTCCAATTTTTGCCAAAATGATGAAAATATTCAAAAAGTCATTACAAATTAATCCCTTATTTTTTGGGATTTTCTATAAATTTTTCTTTTTAAATAACTAACTGGATCATCAAAACCGGCCAATGACCGGTTTCGATCTAACCCAGAGGTTCCAATTTGAACCTTCAGATTTTGCAAACACTGGATTAGATCCGATCAAAACTTCAAAGAGCTCATAGAATAAAAGAGGGTGTTATCAAGATGGACCGGTGCTCGAAATGGCAAAGAACTTGATCTAGTCGAAACCGATTTGATTGGGGTTAGATCGGACAGACCCCTTTTTAAAATATAAATTATTTAAAAAAGTAATTAAAGTATTAAAATTTCAATAAAAATAAAGAACAAATATTATTATTGTGATTATATATGCCAAAATTTATCCACAATTCCATTCATCAATTATTATTCATGCTCCATAAGATACAATGAAGTATAAGATATTTGACTTTTCCAAACTATAAAGAAGCTAAAACTCATATAAATTTAAATATAAAAAAAAAGAGGCTGTCCACGGCATAGAGACATATCCACATGCAGGGAGTGTGAGAGAAAGAGAGCATGTTTTAATGGATATAAGTACAATACAAAAGAAAAATTACAAAAAAAGTGGCATTGATTATAATCAGTTTATATTTTATTTAAAAAAAGGAAAGCTACATCCTTTTAACCGTTGCAGCGATTGTCTGGGTTTAATTTTAGCAATAAAGAGATCGGATGTAGTGAGAAACAAGTTTTAAAAAACCAAATCGGTGACTCAAATCGATCACCCATATCCGTGTCGGATTGGAGAATCGGTAGATCGGATTGGATAATTGACAGAATCGACAATTTTTATCCCAAAGATTTAAAAAAAATCACTATAAATCTCTATAAAATAGTATTATTTGAGTTTCTAAAATTTTTTAAGAGTAGTGCATTATGTACTTTCATTACTTTGTAAAAATACGTGAATATTGAGATTTTTTTTGTCTGGATGTCTATATAATTATTCATTATAATATTGCATCAAAATTATTAAAAATAAAAAAAAACACTTTTATATTATAAGATTTAAAAAAAATAATACCCTTTATAAAATTAAATTAGTATCACGTCAAAGTATCAAACTTCTATTAATTCATTTTACTCATCCCAAATTATCACAACCTAACTAACTATAATAGTATATACTGAAATTAGAATTGTTAGTTTATATTTTATAATTATTTACTATACAAATAAAAATAAATTTAAAATTTATCTTATAATATCATCTAATTTAAAGAAAGTATGTACAACTATAAGAAAAATAATACATTATAAAACTTATAATGCAAATAAATTAATAAATAACATATCAATGTTAAATTATTCATTATAATATTTTAATAAATGTGGTTAAAAAAAATTAAAAATCACTTTCATAACATATGATTTTAAAAAAGTAAAACTCTATATATTTCAATGCCTCATTTCTTGTTGTAAAAATAAAAAATAAAATAAAAATAAAAATAAAAATAAAAAAAAGGGAAGAAAAAGAAGAAGATAAAAATTACAAGTAATCTAAAATTTCAACATTTTCACAAGCAAATAATAAAGGGTGCGGTTTCTATAAGGATGCAACCTTAAACAATCCAATCAAGGAGCACTTTAAAATTTTATCATAACATGTAAGTTTGTTATAAAAAATTCTTAGTATTATCTTAAAATCTATTTCATACCTAAGAAAATTTTAAATTCCAAAAATGGTTAAAATCATGTAGATCTATAAATATATAAAAATCTTGAAAATGTACGGTCTACATAATGTGTTGCAAGATGCACTATTTCTGGAACTCAAAAAAAAAAAAAATTCGTATTCAAACATCCCAATGTCGAGGTGATCAATTAGAAAGTTTTTTCAACATTAAAACAACATTTCCGATAGATTTTTGAGGTGCATATGTGATTCTACATTTTAAAGTTGCAACTTTATATAAACTTTTCCCAGTAATAAATCACTTGTATTTTTATAATCTCTATACTATAAAATTAAAATTATTAGGTTACAATTATTTTACTATATAAATATAAATAAATTTAAACTTTGTTCTATAATAACTTCTAATATAAAAATATTATTATAAACGTATGTAATAAAAAATTATACATATTAAATATTTTATAATACCAATAATTAATTACTAACTTACATAATTGTATTATTAATGTATAATGATAATATGTTAATATATTACTTCTTACATCCAAATGATCCATTTTAATAAAAAAATTGATATATTAATATGACATAAATATGATAAATAAAAAACGATATATTAATATTAGATTATACTAATGTATTCTTGTATTTTTAAACCATGTGCCTTATGTACGCCTACTTGGGAAATGAAGAGCGTCATACTTATATGAGAAGACGTTCAAAATATAGCGTCTCATTCAATAGAAAATCAACAACAATGGTCCCACATCGAAAAACCGTGGGACAGCCGGGCACTTTAAATAGAACTAAAGAAACCAGTTGAAGCGCCGGATGATCTTTGAATCCGCTACATACCTGTCGCCATTCGTCTGTCAGTATTCCACATACCTGTAACAAATTATTTGGATCCCATTTTTATCAACAGATTTGAGACGGTGCCACCGATACTCAAACCAACGACTTTTTAAATCCCATTTTTATCAACAGATTTGAAACGGTGCCACCGATACTCAAGCCAACGACTTTTTAAATGTCAGATCTGAGACGGTACCACTGATACTCAGTCCAACGAATTTTTAAACGCTGAGATAAAGACGTTGGAGAGAAAGAAAGACGTAGGAAGGAAAATTTCAACCAAAAACTTCATATTAGATACCTCATATTAGGTTGGGGATAATAAAAAAAAAACGGCAACTACTGAGAAAGAAAGACGTAGGTAGGAAAATATCAGCCAAAAACTTCAAATTAGGTTGGGGAGAATAAAAAAAACGGCAAAACTGGTGTGACGCCTGATAATTGTTTTCAATAATCCAAATAAGCCAAAAAGGGCCATCACACTAGTTAAAAGCTATAGATGACGAACCTCCCATGGCCCTCTAATGTAACGAGCACCCACATTAGCAACACCTGCCTACTCAAGCATGTACAGTACTGACAAACAACTGCAAAGGGAACTAATTTGCACATAAGGAACTAGAATGAATACCTTCTAAGAATTCAACACTACTGTTCAAACCCAGTTTTGGTTACCCTAACCATGCATCAGCAAAAATCCCAACTATGCACAACCCTATATTCCCACTCATGTTTCAGTTCAGAATATCAAAAGTGTGGGTAAACAAACATGGGAAACAACGGACAGCATCCATTCCCCTACAGCCGAAACACTTCTTCCGACCTTTTGGCCCTAGCCTCATTTATTACAAGACATGACCCTTGAAGCTCATCCGATGCAGGCCACCCTCTCATTCATCCAATTGCTCTCTCTCTCTCTCTCTCTCTCACTCTCTCTCTCTCTCTCTCTAGGAGCACCATCACTTCCCATCACAAATGTAACACGTCCCATGGGAGGGAAGGGTGACGTAACAAATCCTCCAGTGGAGGGAAGAGTGGTGGTGCTCTGCCAGCCATCGCAACAGCCGCCCTTCACTTAAAATGCAGAATCCAGTGCCAGTTTCCAATTAGTTCACCCGTTCTCCTTGTTGCGCTTTTGTCCTTGATATAATTCTTTCTTTCTTTCCCAGAGCCTGTGCAAACAATCTTTTAGCTGCTCTTAATTGAGTTTGCTCCAAGATATCCATGCCTCCTCCTTTGCTATTGTTTTCACTCGTTAGGTTCAGAGGACCTGAACCACTCAATATTCTGCTACTGTTCTTCTTCGTCTCAATAATGCTTGGGAATTGACTCGAACAATCATGAGAACAAACCCCATACTTTTCTCTCTCACTGAAGTCCTTATTCTGTCTTTGTGCAGCATTGGGAAGGGCAGGCTTCTCTTGAGGTGATGCTGGATTCATCCTTTGGCCCAATGCATGAGCAATCATTCTACGAGCAACCACAGGAACATTCCTTGGTTTTGGGGGAACCAATTCCTTTGGCTCGACATCATCTTCCTTGAGAGAAAAAATACGTTCACGAGCAGCCAGATAAGCAGCTTCTTTCTCCTTGAGGGACTGCGTGGGTGGTTTAGAAGAACACTGGCTTGTCATTGTACCTGAAACAAATGTCATGGGCACAACGCTCGGTTGTGAGGATCATAGAGATAGCAAGAAAAAAGTAGCAGTTACACAGCAGTTTCCATACATTGATTTGCACAGCAGTGTAAAAAAAAGAATCAATACAATTTGGAGTTGATGATGCCATTTGTAGCTTGAATTAATGCACAAGCTACGTTTCATAAATTATGCACAGATTAGCAGTTGTGGTTAGCAATGCTTAGTCTCAAGTTCGTTTCCTACCGCTGAACAAACCAAAAATAAAAACTGAAAAATAAAATTTATTTCATCATGACCTTAACTATTCACATGCCCATATGAAAGAAGTGACCTCATATAAATCAAAACTGTCAATTCCAAAACCATGAAAGTGGATCCTTCTGAATTCAAGGAATGAATAAAATGCAAAAATGCTGCAAACAACATATGATCGTAGTCATGTACTCTTATAGACCACAACTTTTGCCAGCCGAAAATCGGAACATCATAATGTCTACCTTAACTGAGATTCGAAAGAGATGGGAAAGGAAAGAGACCTTACCCTCATCTTGTGTGTCAGGCAGCATATGGGTTATATGGAACCCAAACTGGCTTGTTGAAAATACAAAACAAAGGAGGATTTCTCCATTTTAGTCTCTTTCAGAGCAGTGGCATCAGGTTTCAAATGGATCTAAAGTGCAGTTTACGGACCCAAAAAGGCCCACAATCGAGGAGAGGAATTTTGGAATAAACTGGATAAGGCATCAACCTTGGCCTTACCATGGTGCATAGGGGGTGATTTCAATGTACTATACAAAGCATCGAGAAATAGATTTCAATGTACTATACAAAGCATCGAGAAATAGATTTCAATGTACTATACAGAGCATCGAGAAAAGGCAGAGGTGGCAGGATCATGTCCAAGTTTTGTCGCTCATCATACATCCCTCTCAATGGTGCCCAATTCACCCATTCCAACCACTCAGAAAACCCAATTCTAAAAAACTAAACAGATCTTTTGTATCCCCAGAGTGGGAAGTGCAATACCCTTTATGCCCACTCAAACACCATATAAAATCACTAATGATACATGTCCAATTGTATGGGGACCCAAACCTTTTAGACTTTCAATTGATGCGGTTGGAGGTTAAAGACCTTTCAGAGCTCATAAAAAATTGGTAGCAATCCTACCAGGATTTAGGGTGGGCAGATTTTAAGCTAGGCACCAAATTTGGACTGCTAAAAGATCACCTGAAAGGATAAGAGTCATAGATGAGGGTGATCTTGGTAATGGGCAGTAATACCCGCTCAGAACCTTGCTCTGCAGATCCACGAGCCGGATCCCAAGCAGAGCTCACTCCTCCCTTTCATGGGAGGATCTCCATCATAGATGAGGATGAGATTGGTAATGGGTTACGATTTTAGTTCTTTGTATTGTCTGTTTAATGTCTTGCAGGTCTGACCTACAACCATATCGATGTGATATGCCCTTCTAAGGCGTCCAATTGGGGCTATGGATGCTCCCTTTCTTTCTTTTTTTTGAGAATGTATGGACGCTCCTGACCTTGCTTTTGTCGATGATACCTCTCGTCCCCAGAGTGTTAATCACTACCGAAGGGTCTTAAGACAAGTTGGCAGATTTTACTTGGATCATGCCCGGTTTTAAGTATGTCACTTTGATCTTGCCGGGACTCGGCCAATCATGTATCTTCTTGGCGGATCATTGCCTTGTTGAAGGGTATTTTCTGTAGGAAATAAAAGGAATAAGTTTTATTGTATTTGATGGGCAGAATTATCATTTATCCTTTGTTTAGTCCTTATATCTTATTTCTCAAAATAATGGCAGTATTGTCCATAAATTGTAATTAGGTTATTACTTAATAAAAATAAGAGGGGTATAGAGAGACTACTAGGCCACTCTCTTTCCCTCTCTATCCCTCTCTCTCTCACGCCTTTCTTTCTCTCTCTCTCCTCTTCTTTATTTCTTTTCTCTCTTTCGCCCTCGAGATCCTAACTGTTTTTTCTTCTCTACTTTAATTCAACTTAGTATCAAATCCAAAAGAAAGAAAAAAAAGGGGTCGACCTTCAAAAGGGTGCTCAGGAACTATGTTTAGGGCAGATGTCATCCTTGGGAATAGATGATGTCATCATGACCTAAAACCCCAACATTTTTTCTTTAGCAACAACTATGTCAATGAAGGTGAGTTTTTTTTTTCTTTTTTCCTTATGATTCTGGGTGGCGATCAAGTATTTATTAGAAAACCCAGTTTTGGATGGATTAAGGATTATATACTATTAGTGCTGTTTTTTTTATGCTTTTCGGGAAAAAAGGGAGTGTGATCAGATCTAGAGTGTAACCAGATTTGTAAAACCTTTTATTTGAACAGATCAAAAGGTGTAACTTGATCCTAATTGTTGCTTAAGATTTGAGGGTGTAACCTGATCTTAACTACAATAGAGAATGTCTCAACAGGCATCAAATATGGAGTCTTCTGGACCCCACATCAACACAGTTAGATTTGATGGCACCAACTATTTAAAATGGGCTAGGTCAATCAGATTATTTTTGGATGGAAAGAAAAATCTGGGTAATACTGATGGCCATGTGGAAAAACCAAACCTAAAGGATGTTAAATATGCACACTGTGAGGCTGAAGATATAGCCATTATGAACTTGATACTATTTTCTATGCAGCCTAATATGAGTCGATCCTTTATAAACTGTAGTACCTCTGGGATGCAGTTTCTAAGTCCTATTCCTAAAAGAAAAATATTGCAAGGGTTTATGAATTGGAACAGCAAATCAGTGATTTTAAATAGGGTGACTTGTCACTAGAGAGAGAGAATGGAACAAAGGAAGATTTTTTACATTTTGAGGGGAGATAATGGAAAGGATGAAACAATTAGGGCAAATGTTCTTGTTGAGACTTTCTTCAGCATGAAGAAACATGCTGCAAGATAATGGCAGTGTCTATGGGTGAAACTGAAAGATCTGCTTTCTTCAAAAGTTCTAGTGGTAATTGAGGTGGACTACTTTGGATCCGGGGTGAAGGACGAGGAGGTGGACGTGGCCACAGAAACCACACATCTTATAAGTAGGACAAATTAAAGTGCAACCGCTGTAGAAAGACTCGACACGAGGGAAACATGTTGGGATCTGGTTGGACACCCAAGACGAAACTTTTCAAGGGTAAATTCAACAAAATTCAGTGAAAGTACTGCTCCAGTTACTCAAGGGCAGAAAGATACTATAGCCTTTGAACCTCAAGAAGAGTTGGTGACTATTCCTTAAGAAGAGCTCATGGATCTCAAGCAGGGAGCTTCTATTGGAGACCGTGCCTCCTTTAAGTCTCAAATTGCACAATCAAGTATATCTGCATCAGCCCATCATATCTCCATAAATAGCTCTGAAACCCCTCGTATTATTCACTTTGGAGGAACTGAACATATGATTGGTATGGCTGATTTTTTTCTCGTCTTATATCCCATGTTCTAGAAATGAATCTCTTAAAATAGCAAATGGTTCTCTTATTGCAATCAAGGGAAAGGGAACTAAACAAATTACTTCTCCTATTAACTTGTCATCCACCATGCATATTCTCAATCTTTCTAGTAACCTCCTGTCAGTTAGTGATCTCACAAAGACCCTAAATTGCAGTATATTTTTCTCTTCTCACTAGGTATTCCAGGACTAGATGATGGGGAAGACATTTAGATGTGGTCATGAAAATCGAGGGTTGTACTTTTTGGGAACTCCTGATTGTGCCTTAACTGGTGCAAGCACATCTTCAATTGCTAATAAAGAAAGGGTGTATTTGTGGCACACCCGACTTAGTCATCATGCATTGTCTTTTACTTTGTGTGCTTTATTTCCTAAAATATTTGAGTCTCTGGGTCAAGTTCAATTGTAATGTAACATTTGTAAGTTGTCAAAACATTGTAGAACTTCATTTCCTATCAGTATCTATAAAAAAAAGTGATGTTCCTTTCCCACTTATACACTTTGATGTGTGGGATCCTTCACCAGTTGCATCTGTGTTCGGATTCCATTTCTTTGTTATATTTATGGATGATTGTTCTAGATTCACAATTGTCTATCCAATGAAACACGAGGATGAAGTTTCTATTCTATTCCAAGTCTATCACAAAATGGTTAAAACTAAATATGATGGCACAAATTAAAGTCTTGCAATCTAACAATGGATGTATGGGTCAAAGAAACTAAGAGATTGTCTTCTTGAACAGGGGACCGAGTTCCAAATGTGTCCATACATACCTCAGTAAAAATGGCATAGCTGAGAGAAAAACACACTTGTTGGAAGTCACCCGAGCTTTTTTACTGGGAATGAAAGTTCCAAAACTTTTATGGTTTGAAGCAATTCTCACTGCTACCTTGTTAATAAACCGCATGCCCTCTCATGTTCTTGAGGAAAAATCTCCCCCTGAAATTGTTCATCCTAACTCACCCCCTGTACTCCCCAAGGTGTTTGATTGTGTATGTTTTGTCCAAGGACAAACTTAATGCTAAAGCTGCCAAATGTATTTTCTGGGGTATCCATCTCATCAAAAGGGATACAAGTGTTATGATCCTATTACCAAGGTCCGCTATGTCTCCGTGGATGTTACTTTGTTTGACCTATTCCATACTCTCCTCTACAAGTCATGAGTGTGCTCTTCAAGGGTGGAGCGTGGGGGGGAATAAGATACAGTTTAGTGAAGAGATCACGTCAGTTGTTCCCCTTCCAATTCCCACACCAATTTTATTTGAATAAAGTGTTTATATGATAATTTATCTCAAAGGAATGGTGCGCGTTCAAGGAAGGACATGAAGAAAATGGTACAACACAAAGTTCTAAGCAACTATACCTCAAATGCTAACCCGGGATCAGGAACTATTCCTGGACTCAAGCAACTCTTTTACCCTCACAAAGAATCCTAATTTGGACTTACCTATTGCTATTCATAAGGGTACATGCTCTTGCACTCAGTATCCAATAGGAAACTTCACATCCTACAATTT